AAGGTTAGTCTTTTTAAAGAAGTCAGTCAGCAGATTATCGCAGAAGTGGAATTATTTAAAAAATTTAAATATCAAAAAGTTATAGAAGTTTAAATTTACTGTACTGCAAGTATACTGTACTACAAAATAAATGTTACATACAGGTTTTACTCTAAAATTGCTAAAAAAAAATTGAGCCTTATGTCTAAATAAGTTATGTTCCAAATTTGAAGTGGATATGAAAAAAATTGAGGTTTCTGTGAGATTTTATTTAGGGCGTTATACCACAAACAGCCACCGGGTGCCATCAAAACTCCATAAAAAAAATTTTTATGCATTTTTCTGTCAAAAATGTCTAGATTTCTCTGTCAATATTACTTTTATCACAAAATAACAAATATGGAATCCTGAGACTCAGACCTTTCCAATGATATGTTTTATGTCAAGATTATAAAAAGTTCTGATTGTAAAAGTAATGCATCTTGGGCTTCTAAGCTTTCAAACGATATATAATTTATGATGATTACTAAAATATTTGATAGAGAAAAAGGACAACAAAATAAAAGAGCGCCAAGGGTCCCACAGGTGGGATGGTGACAGTTAAGTTGTTTAATAATGTCCACCAGTAGACAATACATGTATTTTCACCAGAATGTAAGCGTTCTGCATTCTGTAGTAAAAATAATATTTTAAATATTTATGGATTAGGATGGGTGACTCCTTTCTCTTGCTGAGGCTAATTTCGGTTACACTTTATTTCGATAGTCCACTTTAGACATTCTACTAACTATAAGTAACTTTGTAACTACATGTCAACTACATGTCAACTAATTCTCATTAATTTGCAACTACATGTCTACTAACTCTCAGAGTAGACTGTTAGGGTAGGTTTAGGGTTAGTAGAATGTTGACAAAGAAAGTGTTAGAAGATATTAAGCAGACAGTCTACTAATACTCTACTAACTGCTAGTTGACATGTAGTTGCAAAGTTACTTGCTGTTAATAGAATGTCTAAAGTGGACTATCGAAATAAAGTGTTACCCTAATTTCATAGCTAGAATTGTATGTATCCAAAAACACACAATGAAAAAATATTTTCACACTTTTGCATTAAATTACAAATATAGTTTCAATGGACATTTTGTATAATTAAATATTCTGTTCAGAAGTAATATTTACATCACATTATATTTCATATCGAGCTCTTCAAAGACACTGTTGTCTCTTTGTTAACCAAGTCAACTTTTGAAAACACTTAAAAATTGATTGGTGTGGTGGTAATGTATGAAACTTTTGAACAATTTACAAATAAATAATTTTCACATTAAATATTGAAATTGTTTATTTCACTCTTTGTCTAGATCATAATAGATTTTAGAATATAGCAATTCATTTTTATGATATATTTTTCTATTTCAAGATTGAAACACTAGTTCAGAAACAAGGGAAAATAAAATATATATATAAAAAACATTTATGTAAAAGTAGCTTTTGAAGGCATGGTAAAAAAGTTTCCAAGACAGTTTCTTCATAAAACAAAATGAAAATCCATATTTTTTATAAAAATCAACCCCTAGGACACAAACGTTGAAGAAACACCTGTATGAATCTTCAATACCCTTCTTGCTCATTTTCTGACTGCACCACGTTTTTCTGGTAGAATTACATTAGTATAAACTGTAGCTCTGTGTCTTGGTTTCTTGTTTCTGTTGAAATGCAGAGGTTGAGTATGCTGATGCATGTTAAAGTGGACAACTCAAGCATTCAACTCGATTGTGAAGATAACACCACAGCACTGTAGATTTCAGATAAGACGTTAGGAAACTTTTTGTTTCCTGTCATCCTATCCTCCCAGCACTCTATCTTTCTTTCCATCCCCATCTCTCTTTCTGTTTGTTTTGCATAGGTCACAGCCAATTTCTCCACTCTTTTTAATCCTTATTTTTGCATAATGATGCATAATTCATGAGGAGCTTGTGAATATGAATGAGCGTGGCAGTGTCATGGCATGAGAGTGAGTTTTTTTGTGGAGTCATAAGGGTTACTAATGCAGCGGACACCACTTCAGACACGACTGTCTCCAAACATGCCAAATGAAACTCAATCTTCACTTTAGTCTGAGGGCAATGCTAAAGTTCATTCCTCATTAAATGCACATTGAGAGTGTATCAGTTTTCCGTTCTCCTCGGGCCAGGGTGAGAGTTTAAGTGGAAAAAAATGGATGTGGGGCAGAGAGATTGATTATGTGCGACAACATGCTCCATGTTGAATTTAGATTATGTCTATTCAAAAATGTATTTTCTAATATGAATGTACCCTGAAAAATATATTCACTGAAATTCAGGTGTAATAACTAGTCCTGTTCTCCCTTTACAGTATGTGTTAAGTAAGTATATTATTATTGAGAGAACAGTGTTTGCACACAGTGCAAGGATTTATGGGAGATATTAGCCTAAAATCGTGCACAGATGTACACTTTGAAAATCCATAGAAAATTGAAAGCCATCTGGGCACTTTTGCCATACTACTTCTAATGTGTGATGGATGGAACATACTACTCCTAATCTCACATACTTTCTGTCCTATATAGTATCTATATAGTATCTTTTTGACAATTACCTCATCTCTTCTTTCAGCATTTTTGTATTTCTCTTACTTATTATGTGAACTGTTCATATGTCCTCAACATATTTTCCCAGGCTTCAGGGTGTAGCCTGACCTTCAAGATATTTGTAAGACTTAAGCTCTATTTAGGCTGTCATGCGTTCATCTATAACCACATTTGTGAGACGCCATCAGCCACCTAGTGTGTATAATAGCCATATGCATATAAATAGGTGTTCATCTTTCCATGCATACCATGTGTTGTTGATGTTGATTGAACTTGTTGGTGGGAGCCCACAGCATGCTGACGGAGAGGTGTGAATCTGGAGTGGATGATGTGTCCCAGCGGAGCGTGAAATTGAAATAACTCCCAACAGAAGGGGCAAAAAGAGAATGAGAAAGACAGACAGACAGACAGACAGATAGATAGATAGATAGATAGATAGAATATGGAATTTGGAGGCCAGGGCAACACCTTGAAATCTTCTTGAATTCTTGCATCTTCATGTTTCTCCAACCATTCCTAAACAATTTTTGCAGTGTGGCAGGGTGCATTATGTTGCTGAAATACAGTAGGCCACTGCCATCAGGAAACCATTGCATGAAGGGGTATAAATGGTCTGCAGCAATCTATAGGGGAATGTGTCAAAGTGACATCCACATAAATGCCAGGACCCAAGGCTGCTGCCATATCTTTCCCAGTTAAACATCACACATAAACTCGGCCATCCCTGATCTAAAAGAAAACGTGATTTGATCAGACCAGGCTACATTCTATTACTTCATGGTCCAGTTCTGATGCTCTTGTCCCCATTGTACATGCTTTCTGCGGTAGACAAGGTTCATTATGGACACTCTGAAAGGTCTGCGGCTATGCAGCCCCATACTCCGTAAACGGTGATGCACTGTGCTCTGTTGTAAAGATATAATCAATGTTATTCACTTCACCTGTCAGTGGGTTTAATGTTGTGGCTGATCAGTGTATAGCATGAACAACAATGTGCAGCTAATCCCAGCTAGGATGATATTAAGAACTGCAGTTGGTTTTTATAGTTTTTTCCACATTGTAGTTAATTGCTAAAGAAGCTGAAGCATCAGTGCACAAAGTGAAAGCCGGTGAAAGCATGGAATGGAGTGACAGAGAGCGTTCTGCTCCACTTTAGCTCCAGGTTTTCCATTTCACACATCATACTCATTGGTGAAACCTATAAAGAAACTAGAAACTTGGCGGCAAATGTGGTGTAGGATTTCCTTTGAAACTATTTTCATTCAGAAATTCAATTTAAATAAATGTCACAAATTATTACAAAGACATGGCACACATTGAAAGTAACAAATTTAATTAAATGTGACATTTGAAATGGTATTTTCTTGTAAAACATACTCCAGTAATCTTTGGAAAATCATTTTTATTTTGTATAGCAGGGTAAAACACTGATGCTTTGATGTTTAAAAATGAAAAAGTCCATTCCTCACTCCACTTCCACCCTGCTCACACACTCTGGTCTGGAAATATTAAGCCAGTCAGCTTAGAGGACTGGAAGTAACATGTATAATATGCTATACATGACTGGTGGTACTGGGAACTTAAGCTACATGTGTTCTCCGTCTGGTGCTTGAAATCAAGAACAATGTCAGATAGGCATAAAATGAAAGGTTCACACTAGTTATTTTCTGGATGGTGTATGCTTTCTCTTTCTGTCTGCCTATCACTTTCATGTTTTTACCCCTCACTTCTGTCCCTGGTGAGAGCATTTGGAAGCTGAACTGTCAGTTTGTTGCTTTGATTTTCTCACTGTGCCCACTAAGTCTAACCCACTACAGCCTTCTGCTGTACTCACAAACACACACATGAATACTATAGAATACACACATGAATAAATAGAGCACTAAACCACTGAAATTGCTCAAATGTACAAAGCTACGTGAATTTATTCATGGTCGACTCAGCCGTATGAACAGCTTTATGTCAATGAAAAACAGCTTCACTTCAATGCCAGCGGAGCATGTGAAAATGTAAACATCTTAAAATCACTGGATAGCTGGCCAATCACAGCACACCTCGCTTTTCAGACCGATGAGCAAGACAGAAATTTACAAAATTATATCCTGTTGTTTCAACATATCTATTGCTCTGTAAAAATATTACACAACAATCTTTCTGCTAGCTGAAAAAAAACATAGCATGTACGACATGCCTGATAACAAAGTGCAGGGGACACATTTTTTGGTTTATCAAATTGACTCTAGACTGACTTGACTGATTGACTGAGACTTCAGTTTTTCACATGACAAAGTGCAGGGGACACATTTTTTGGTTTATCAAATTGACTCTAGACTGACTTGACTGATTGACTGAGACTTCAGTTTTTCCCATGGCATCTCAAGCCTTTTTTTTTTTTTTGTATTTCAGTGCGACAGATGTCCTGCATGGAGGAAATGAGGAAAGAATTAAACACAGCCAGGAAAAGGATGAGTAAAAAGAGAGAATAAATCAGGTGAGTTCATGGATGTGTTTCCATCTCCTCTGAATAGTGCATTTCCCAGAGAATCAGCCATTTTTTCATTGTCAAAATTGCTCCAGTATACAGAAATGTTTGCTCACTGGATATTCCCAGAATGCTCTGTCAAAGCCACACTATTTACTATATTCACATACTATATCTGTTAGTCTTTAAATGATGAGTTCAAGTTTAAGTGTATGAAAAAAAAAACTTATTTTCTGTCTTCAAACCAATTTCAATCTTTCATTCCTAATGTTTATGAAAGGGAAACTATAATACTATATACAACTATTATAATAACTTTTAAATAGAGTTAAACATTAGAGTTGGCGGAAGATTACAAATACCTCCCCTTTTTATTATTTTATTTATTTATTTATGTATGCTCCTTAATTTTGTACTTATTATTATTATTATTATTATTATTATATTATGTTATGCACATTTAATTACAACTTTCATAAAGGCATGTTATAGAGCAATATTGGTGATAAAAACTAACCATGTTTTAATGCGGGACCTCAAAATTGTCCCACAGGTAATTGATTCATCTGTGTCTCAGTGTCTAATGGATCTGGTGCCTGAATTAGTGATAATGATATTGTCATAGGAAACTAGAGATAGGAGTGAGCCAAAGTTTAACAAATGAAAGTTGTTTTGAAACACCAGCTGTCTTTGTTAGTGAAAAAGAGAGTAGGAGAATAGAAAGGAGATGAACCTGAAACCTAGTGAAATTGAATTACATGTGCACTTCTAGTACTCGCTATAGATTCCAGATGGTCGTATGTGCTCATCCACTAGTATCTGACATCACACAAATACAGCTTTACATCAAAAGTGATATTGGAATATTATCAATTAAAAATGTGTTGTACAGCGATGAGGTTTCCAAAAGCAGATGTTTCTGTATCTGTAATCACTGATTTTATAGAAATTGGGAAGTGTGGATAAGTCCTTAATTTGGAACCATGTATGTAGTACAGCATGAAATTTCTTTCAGTACCCCATCTGGGTACACACACACACACACACACATACACAAACAGGCTCAAACAGTTTTATAACTGCCTTTGAAAGTCTGAAATTTGCTGTGCCAAAGGATTTGATCAGACGACTACAGACCTAAATGTGCTGAACCTCCACAGCCTCCCACACTTGTGAGTCTTGTGAGAGAAAAAACATCTCACATCTTCCTGATGTAAGCTGAAGCACACTGAAAGAGATTTTTAATTAACTGCCAACTAAAACACACACACACACACACACACACACAACCACCTGAGGGTTAAATTGACCCAGGATGTTCCATTACAGCGTTCCAGCACCTTCGACTGAAAGAAAAAAAACAAAAACATATATTGCCAGTTTGTTCGTCAATCCATTCCATTTCCTTTATCTTTTTGTTTGAGATGCTTTTCCGTACCCACTGTATATATATATATATATATATATATATGCATGCAGAACTCAGAAAACAAAGTCAACACTAATTATGCTTAATTATATTATCTAATGCTTTTTGAGTGGTGGAATTTTTGGGTCTGCCCACCCCCAAATTTAAAATATTTTTATTAATATATTTATTAGAGAATTTTGCACAGTCATTTACTGAAATTCATTATTTGAAATATATATGTATGCGTGTATAAATAACAGATGATTTGTTTAGTAGACGGTCTTTACAGTATTTTATTGATTTGCCAACATCAGAGAGGGTTTGACTATCGTTCGCACAGTTTGAGTCAAATTTTAATCACTGTAACCCCTAATAAAAAATTAATCGGGTACATTGATTTTTAAAATGTACTTAAATATTAAACAAGTGGAATTTTAAACTTTGTCTTTGTACTACACACAATTGTTAAATTGCAATTAAATTGAAATTTTTACAAAGATAACAAAGATAACTCAATTTAATTGCATTTACATTTGCATGTGCTAATATATCTATAGCAAAGAGACTATAAGTGAAATGAAATACTTTTTAGTTAATTTCACTGTTGGGTATTACAGTGTAACTGTGATCAAACTGTGAATTAACAAAGTCTACTAAGCTGAGAATATTTGCTTATATGTATACATTTAATTCTACAAAAATTTATAGAATTTTACATAAATGTGTATATTTTGAAATATATATATATGTGTGTATATATATATATATATATATATATATATATATATATATATATAATTATGAAGCTAATTATAAGTATTATATAATTACGCTTATAACAAAGTCAATAAATGTCTTTAATCAATGGAGAGCACTAAAATATATATATACATACATACATATACATTACATACAAACTTACATACTAGTCATATATCAATATATAAGTGTATAACAGTTGAGAAAAAGCTGCTTTGAGACAGCAGACACAAAGGATTATTTTCCGATTTTGTCTGTTCGCTGCAGTAGTTCTGAGGACGTCTCATGCTAACAGCTCCCATCAGCCTGTCTGCTGTCTGTGTCTAATAGAACTGGAAACTCACTCTGGCAGGTAGGAAGCTCAGAGAACAGGATTAGAGGATACAGGAGACAATCCATGTCGGACACACACACTGTGATGCTTCACTTCATTGTCTGAGAGGGATCAGACTAACCTTTGTGCTGCCGGGTCTTTGCTTTTACAGTCGCTATGGCAGCCGGCCTGACTGCAGCGACGGATGCTAGGATGCTGTTTTGTGAGCTGTAGCAAAAGAATCAGTGGCTTTTATGATGCCTTTAGTCACTGTTATATTGCACACAGACACACACATAGTGCTCCAACAATAGCTGCATGAACCCAAGCACCTCTGTCAGAGTGAAGCTAAGGGAACATTTCTCTGGTGATGCTCCGTATGAGCTGCTTCTCTGTAGGTTTATGATTTGTGCATGATTTCCTGTCATGATGTAAGGCTACAACTATTTTCTTAATTGAATATGTCAATTATTTCTTTTGATTATATGCTGTCTTTAAACATTATGCAAATATATAAGTGTATATTGTGTATGATACTGTATATTGAAATTTTTAAGTAAACTATTTGCATTTGCTTTAGGCATGTAGATTGAGTAAAGTAAATTTTTATATTTTTTGTTACATTTACAGAGTCTTTAGAGAGTAGGGTTTTTAGAACAGAAAAAAACATTGTAATATTTATTTGCATATTTGAGCAAATGTAAGAAGTATAAAATAAAAAAAAAGATACAAAAAAACTAAAAAAAAAACTGTGTTCCCATCATGTACTGGGGCATGAATAAAATGTAGCTATTAAAAATCACTTTCAGTAATTGTAAGAAATCTGTCATAGAATAAAAAAAATAAATATAAGATGAAAAATCTTTTAAAATATTTTAAATGTTGCTCTGGCAACCAACTGAAATAAGTTTAAGTACTAAAATTACTAACACTAAAACTTAAATAAAAGTGAAATACAGCTATTTAAAGAAATATTTAACATTTGTTAAAATGTAAAAAGAACATTAAATTACCAAAACTTCAAATAAAAATAAACTGAAAAAAAAAGAAAATGTAAAAATAAAAGCTCAATTGAAAATATTAGTATATACTATAATAGTATGTAAACAATACTAAAATAATACTGATGAATAATTAATACGTTTTTTCCCCCATTTGATTTGTTGTTGTAACCCCATCATAAGCCCTATCCAGATGGAGCTAGTTTTCCCTGAGGGCGTTAGAGAAATTTGTTTTCCAGACATACTTTGTGATTTTAATGCCGTCTGAATCTGCCAAGTCTGTGTTTTTCTCACACAACCTCTGTCAAAATTCCAGAGCAAATGATCCAGTTTTCCGCAAACTCAACGGTCTTCTGAGAAATCTAATCCTGTCCAAATGCAAATATATTTGATTGCTGATATTGTACCCCAACACTTCTCCTCGTGTGTTTTTTTGATCAGCCTGAGCAACCATTTGTGCACGAATCTTCTGCATGCTGTACCTTTCAATATGGACAGTATCTGATGAAAAAAATAAGTCAAAATGAATAAGGAAACTGCCAAGACTGGCCATTTAAACATCAGCGTTAGTTAAGATACTTGCCTAGATGTCTCTGCTCACTTAGGTGTGTTTATAATAAGCAGCCACTTCTAGAAACTCATGTGACGTTTATTTAAATAAGGTTTTTATGAAAAACTAAAATTATATCAAGATAATATCATTAAAAGATATATACGTCATACATGCTGCATGCCACCACATCCCATATAATTCCCACATATAGAAACTCTCTGTAGTCCTGCCCGAGTTGGTACATGGATTCACAAATGTTGAGTGATAAGAATTGTAACTCAAACATCGTTTAGAAAACTAGTATAGGGCTGTAATCTCATTTTGCCCATTGGTTCATGTGGACCAGTCAAATTTAATCCAATGTAACCAAAGACATGGAATCATCACAGGACCTGAATACTGACCTGTGGGTATTAAGCACTTTACAGCTCACACCATTATCCAGAGTGGTTTTCTGTAGTCAGATCTCTAAAGGCCGAGCACTGTCCGTCCTGCCAGAAAAATGGATTTAACGCCCCAGCTTTTTGATGTTAAAAGTAGCATCGCTCGGCTCTAACTGAAGTCCTTTTTAAAGAGCTGTAATATACACTGAATCCAGCGCAGTGAGAAACAGACTCTAAAGCCCATCCAATGCGCTGACTGTGCTCTGGGAACTGGGGCTGGAGTTTGGGAAGAAAGGAACAGTAACTCGGAGCGCCTCGTTCGGAATATCAATGGGTCTGGCGGGGTTAATGTTTAACACACCACTGCCAAGGAAAATTCAATTGCTTCCACAAAACAGGTGATATTTGAAAAGGAGCCTGAAGGAAGACTTCGAAGAGCATTGGCTCAGCAGTGTCTCCACGGACACCGAGTCAATGGGAGTGAATGAGAGGGATGAAGACATGGTAATTTAGGTAGATTATTATTTTGCGTGCATGTACGTGCTTCATATTAGCTATATTTTGTTTGAAAAGGAATGTCGGGACCTTA